ACTTTATAAAAGCTGACACGTATTCTAATCCTGAGTTATGTACGGTAAAGAAAATTAATTTAAAGAGAAGCGTATACCAAAAATTAAAAAGAAAAAATACATGGATCCACGCAGGAAAAGAGACTTTAACAGTAAGTTGCGCTAACTTAATAGATCCATTCATAATACAAACAAATGAAGCAGGAGAAATAGCTATAAACGACATTAGTTGCCAAGTATATGCACGGGACGCGGTATTAACTGCCACGGAAGAAATCCAAATTACAAAATATAAAGACTTTACACCTGTAACTAACATGAATAATATTTTAGAAAAAATACCCGAACATATACACAAATTCGTAACAGATGAAAAATGGGAAAAAGGACCAGCTATGCAATTCACAGATTTACACGATGCATCCAAGTCTTTAGACGAAGTACAACAAATGATTAACCAAGAACTTTTAAGAGAACAAAATCAAAAGCATCAATTTGTACACAGTAATTTGCTATATGTAACAATAGTACTGGCAGTAATATCTATTATACTAATAATAGCAATTTATATAATGATAAAATGCAAGTATATTAGGACCACAGAAGTCATGGAATTACCCGGCAGAATAGTTAGATATAGGACACCCAATAGAAATGACTACGTACGAAATTATGAAGAGACACCCTTTACTCCACCACCTTCACCAAGATAAATTAATTAATTAAAAAAAAAAATGATAAAAAATAATAAAATAAATATATTTAGAGTAGTCGCTAGTCATAACGAATTATTTACTTAAAATTTAATTATTAATAGAATAAATATATAGAATAAAAAAATATAGTACATACAAAACGAAAATAAATACGTAACATATTAATAAAATAATAACCACTAGGAATAAATAAATATTATTATGCATAACGAAATAATTCATAGAATAATACTTACAAATAATCACGATGTAACAACTATATAACAGGCCACTTTAATTATTTCAGGAACTAAAAGGAGAACAAATATTTAAAAACATACCCACATAAATAAGAAATATAAAATGAATAGGAACTCACCACCTACTTCTCGTACAGTTCAAAAGACACTACAAACAAGAGAATTCTTTCACAGACTTATAGTAGAGTTAATAACAGCACGCCACACACAAATAAATCATGGGGGAACAGTGACCCTACACTGTTTCAGAAGACACTTAAGGAGGGCGAATGAAGACATGACACACCCCTTTCCAAGACTAGTTTTGGAAAGAGTTATGGTTCATGTATGCAACTTCGTACACACGGTGGTTGAACGACCGGACCACAACAGACCCATTTGTGTAGAAATTGGTTTGTTGTTAGAGCAACTAATAATTAGAGGCGTGGCAATAAACCAGTAAACGATATAGTTCTAAGAAAGAAATAAAAAAAAAACATAAATGTATAATAATATTATTAAATTATAGTGTTACTGATCTTAAATAATACATTTTATTTTAGCTCACAGATCCGTTTTTTCATAGTGGATTTCGAATTCTTTACGGTTAGTAAAGAGGAAACATTATTGGTATCCGGGGCGATTTCAAATAGTCTAGAAAAATACCAGCCCAAGAAATTGGAAGGAAGTCCTCTTATACTTACAAAAAACGATAAGTTAAGAAGATTCCGGCAATGCGATCTTAAGAAAATAGTGCAAACAATCAAACGGGTATTCCGAGGGAAAAAGGCAAGCGTGATTACACCACGGTTGGACCAGTTATACAAAAGTATAAGCCACCCGGAGGAATCAACCTTGTCAACGGTTTACTTGCAAAGATATTTGCACATAGACAATATTGATCCAATAATAGTTTTCTGGAATGGAACGACGGATATAATATTAATTAATCGATTAAGAATAAAGGGTATTGTAGCATTTTTAAATATATCAGCGTATAGTGTTAAAAATAATAATGAATTTAATTTAGAATTGACAAACTTAGAAACTAAAGAAGTTTTATATTCAGGGTACCTATTTAGGGAAAATGAATAAAAATGGTAGAATGTTAGGATTATCGGAAGCGCATGGATTAATGTGTGAAACTAATCATAATATTACGTATTTTCATGATCCAGTTACCGATGTAGTTTTAACGAAATGTCTATTTAATTATGTTTTTTCAAAAATGATACCCATATATTTATATAAGTTAGCGAAAAAATATAAAAGAAATTATTATAATCAGAATAAATGAATTATTATAGTTAATAAATAAGCTTTAGAAAATAAATTATATATGTATGGTTATGGTAAATAAATAATTTAACGCTTGTAATATTATTTTAGATTCGTTGAGGAATTAAAAAACATAATAAAAACAGAAGTACATATCTATAACTTAAAAGAAAATAAGATGCAGTCAGTATGTCTCAACAGGCATATATTGAAAGCCAACAAAAGATTAAATAACCGCTATGATCATAAAACTTTAAATAAAATAACAAGAAATCTTGAACTTTTTATAGATGATCACTGTAAGGGAGAATGTAAACATTTAGCAGAAATAATAGAAAAAACTAGGGACCCGAGTTATATAATATACTATCCTAAGTAAATTTTTGGTTGCATATGTGTATGACAATTTTAATAATTATTCATATAAATTTATTAGGTATATAAAACTAATTGGTGGAAGATAGTAATTATTATATTGTATTCAAGGGGAAATATTTACGTTATACATTATATACTTACATTATATACTTACACTTTTAATATTGTAATTTCAGGTACAATACTATTTTATTATTTTTGAAGGACTATTGCTCCTTCTTACTAACACTAGTTATTTAGTAATTTATGTATTTGTTCTTACTAACACTGTACTAACCACGATATATAACTTTTAATATATATAAAAAACATGTAACAGTAATTATGTATGACACTTAAAAATTGTAATGTCTACACTGTAATATCAAAATTGTAAACTATTATACTAATTGTAATCAAATGTATGTCAGATTGTAAATCAACTATTGTGATTAATTAACTTAACTATGATTGTTAAAGATTCTTAACCCTTAAAAGTTAACTTTTTTTTTTTTGGTGGGGAGGTGTAATGGGATTACGCAACTCATGTACAACGCTCACAATAACAAGTACTACTTATGTAGAAAGCGGCCTCGTCGACCGCACCCAAAAGTGGTCATAGCTAGAATAGACGCTTCGAATCACAACAACTTCCCAAGGGCGCCTGCATGCCACGCGCCGCTCAATTCAAAGGGCGTCGCCTTCGTATATTCGTATATATAGAGGCCAGGGCTCCAATACGAATTAGATGTACCAGAGCCGCCAAGACCGAGACAGCAGCTCATGCACCAGCCATTGCACACAACCTTACACGGAGATTATCAACTACTACAACAAGTCAACTCACGACGCTGCAATTTCACCACGACTACATTAATTATTATTGGTTTTAATAAAGTACAATTGATTCATATTTTAAATTGACTATATTTTATTGTAAGAGCACGACAGCCTTTGGATCCCTGAAGGGCCGCACGTAACAACACACATACACACATAGAAATGTAGCAGTTGATTTAACTTTTGATATTTGGGTTTACATGTGTATATTTAACTTCAGTGGCGTATAAATTTATCTCAACTCCTTTGGCATGTTGTTTTAATGAAATGAATGTCAAACCAAAACGTAATTAAAATTGATTATTTATCATATTTGAATTTAACATTTCTTGAGGTTTATCTGACACGATCCAATTTTACATCAACTATTTATATGATTGCATTACATTAAGCATGGGTTTTAATTTCAATATATAAGATAAGTTTGTATTGATAACCGATTTAGATGGTAAATCCAAGCGGGGCCGTATTCAGAGCAGGGCAAGAGGGCATGGGCCAGGGGCGCAATTCTAAAACTTCTGAGAGGGGCGCAAATTTCAATACTACTCATGTAATATTTTTCACGTAATATTTGAAAAATGTATATTTATTTTAATAACTTTTAGGATGGACAGAGCATATGAATTATATGTATTTATATTTTATACGTATGATTTAGTATTAATATAATAGATTAGATATATACCGTCAAATGGGGCGAATAGGAACAGCATGGGGAATAGGAACACATTTGATTTTATTGTCCTCCTATCACTAATAGTTAACTGATAGCAAAAGTACTAATGTCATATTGTTCTACATGTAGTATAGACCAATTTTGTTATATTTGCAACACTGTATAGTAGCTGTTACCTTACTATTAGCAATATGTTATTTGAGCTTCTATTAAACAGTGAACTACGTAATTCTTAATATAGATATTATCGTTTTGTGATGTCGGTCGTCGGGCCAGTTGTATTATCGACTTATCGTTATCGCGTTATTATACTGTTTCTTCAAATAAAACTGTAAACAAATTATTATGGTCTATCATAGTAATGATATTATAATAATATAAAGTACAGTACAATCGAAGTACAACGGTTTTATTTTCTATTGAATTGTTGCCGAGTCTCGACGTAGTTTCGTTGACGAAAAATTGACGTAAGTACAACATTATGGTAATTCATTTTTCTAGCTTTTAATCACTCGCACTCGTACGAACTATAATATTTAAGAAGAGTAGTTAAAATAATTAAGGATCCCGATGCCGGTTTTACAAAATTTCTACAATTTTATCTAACTTTAAAATTAAATTTCATATTTTAGTTACTACCTCAATTATAATACTTTTTCAGTTTTCTATAATCTATAATCTACTGTTAGATGCCCATAGATACCTTTTTTTGGAGGGTGATACGATGTATTATACGATCGCCCAACCTTAGTTTTAACTTTCATGATACATATTTTATAAATATTACATGCATTACAATTTTTATTAGGTATACCATATTACCATGTGTATTAAAAAGTGTTGACTAAAGAATAAATATATAGAATTCCTATTATTTCTATCATTTTCACTATATTCACTATCAAACCTCTTTTGAATAGGATAGGTAGACATAAAATGACTTCAAAAAAACATTCTGGTGCATGGTTTGAGAAGGAAAGAAGCAAAAAAAAAAAATTAGACGAAAAATTGGCAACCAATATGGCCAATTGGTTGACTAAAAATCCTTGTGCAGTACTTAAATCAACATCAAAAAATTTATTAAACCTAGAAGAGGATATTGAACAACAAATTATTCAGAAAGATGAACATTTATTAGTAAATACAAAATATGTTACTGATCCTGAAAGTTTGACACTCATAGAGTCAAAAAATGCACTAAACCTAGATGAGAATATTGAACAACAAATTATTCAGAAAGATGAACATATGTTTGTTAATACAAAATGTGTTAGTGACCCTGGAAATTGGCCAATCTTAACAGATAAAATTCGAACTTATATTGTTGAACAGGAACCGTATCACCTTGACGTAAATCATTACTTTCCATTAAATGCAGATGGTAGGCATTTTGATGGTAAATGGTTTTTCAAATATTTACCGAATGGTGAAAATGTGAGAAGACAGTGGTTGGTCTATAGGGTTATTAAAGACGCTCTGTTTTGTTTCCCATGTTTGCTTTTGAAAAAAAAAAACCATAAGCGAAAATCTCCATTTTGTGACGACGGTTTTTCCGATTAGCAACACTTAAATCCTCGAATTTCTGAACATGAATTAAGTGATGTTCATCGAAAATGTTATGTAGATTGGAAGGAGTTTGAGAAACGATTAAAAGATGGTAAAACTATTGATAATAATTTTTAAGAAGCCATTCAAAATGAAAAAAAAAAATGGCGCAATATACTTAAAACAATTAGCAATGTCATTTTATTTTGCGCAAAAAATAATTTGCCATTAAGAGGTTCATCTGACAAAGTAGGCGATGATAATTGTGGAATTTTTCTCGGCTTAATCGAATTAATAAGTCAGTATGATCCTTTATTAGCCGAACATGTAAATAATGTCAAGCATAGTTACAATCATGATAAAGTTCTTAGTTATTTTTTCTCCCATTATTCAAAATGAACTAGTTATAATTATGGGCCAACAAGTTAAACAAGAAATATTGAATAGAATAAATAAATCTAAATATTTTTCCATTCTCTTTGATTGTACACCAGACGTTTCTCACCAAGAGCAATTAACTGAAATAATTAGATATGTACACATTGTTAATGGAGAAGTATCAATAGAAGAATCATTTATTGACTTTATCATAAGCCACGAGAAAACTGGATCAGGATTAGCTGATGAAATATCAAGTAAATTGAAAGAAGATGGATTAAACATCATGGATTGCAGAGGACAAGGCTTTGATAATGGCGCCAACATGGCTGGAGTTCACAATGGAGTTCAGGCTCATATTATTTCCAAAAATGATTTGGCTATGTTTGTTCCATGTGCTGCTCACAGTTTAAACTTAATTGGCGTACATGCGGCACAAACTTCTCCAACTATTATAACGTTCTTTGGTGTTATTCAAAAACTATTTACATATTTTTCTGGTTCAACATCAAGATGGGAAAAAATTAAAAATGTACTAAAAATAACATTAAAATCACACTGTGAGACCCGTTGGTCTACTAAAAAACAGGCCGTAAGTGTACTTAAAAATAACATAAAAGGTGTTTATGAAGTATTGGAAAAATTGTCTGAGGATTCTAAACTTAATAATGATACAAAGATAGGTGCTAAACATTTATTATACCAAGTAAATTTAAAATTTTTATGTTTACTTAATCTATGGTATATAGTTTTAAACCAGATAGACTACGTCAATATTGCATTGCAAACTAAAAACCAAACCATAGATGTAGCTGTTAAAATGTTGAACGGTTTAATAAAATCAATTCAAGAAATAAGGGAAAATGGTTTTAAAAAATGTCTGAGTGAGGCAAAAGATATGGCCAAATCCTTAAATATTACTTCTGAATTTACCAACAAACGTACCTCTGTTGAATCAAAAGACACAGAAAATAAATTTAGAGCTCAATGTTATGAAGCATTAGATTCTATTCTATCCAGTTTATGTTGGAGGTTTGAAAAAATGTCACAAATCGCATCTGATTTTAATTTTTTGTCTGGTAACTTATTATCAACTATGGAGTCTGAAAAATAAAACTCTGGGTTAATGATTTGGCATTGAAGTATGATCGAGATTTAAATGCTGCAGAGTTGTATTCTGAAATTGAGAATTTCAAATATCAGGCTCCATTATTAATGGCAAAATTTGAGAATGCAACTCAGTTAGATATTCTAAAGCATATTCATCAGTACTCTTTAAAAGGTTTATATCCGAATTTAGAGGTAGCACTACGGATATTTTTAACAATTCCTGTCACTACGGCTTCTTGTGAAATGAGTTTCAGCAAGCTGAAAATCATAAAAAATTATCTAAGATCAACAATAAGTCAAAATCGTCTCACCGGAATGGCTATATTATCTATAGAAAAAGATATAGGGAAGACAACTTCATTTGATGATGTCATTGATCAATTTGCTTCAATTAAATCAAGAAAAGTACCTTTGTAATATTGTGTAAAAATTATATAAAAATAAATTAAAAATTATTAAACACAATAGTTGTATGTTATTAGTTATTATTACTTGATATATAGGTACTATGTGTTTTTACATGTTTTATATATCTCAAATGTTTTTATAAACTAATGTATATTTTTAATTTGGAGGAGGGGAGGGGGCGCAAATGCAGTGATTCGCCAGGGGCGCCACCAAACCGCAATACGGCCCTGAATCCAAGATAATTGTATTCAATAACAAACTATTGTAATATTGAAATAACAATAATATAAGGTTTAAGATGAGGCTTTTATTATTTCGGTTAACATTTATTTATAAGTATTGAAAACACATTCATTGCGATTAAAATAAATATAGTGGAGTGTTGATTTAACTTCATAGAAAATTAACTCAACACACGAGCGTATTAAGGCGAATACCTACAAGTTTAGTACGAACACTAAAAACAACGAAATTGAATTTTACCAACACGTGTTTTCCGACATTAACGATTAACAATACCCGTCTGTGACCTGTGTAGCGTGTAATTTTTCGTTTAAATTTTTTCATTAAGTTTTTTATAAAAGTATTACTTTATGCACCTATGGCCAATTTACCGAATATGAACAACTTCAACGAGGAAAGTCAATTTTCTCAAGTAAGTACTTTAGTAGATACCTATATACTCGAATAAATTAGTTGTTATCATGTATGTAGGTACATCGTGTTAATTTAAAATGAAAAATTGTTACCATATTTTTAACTAGGTGGGAAACTGCCTTTTTTATTTTATAATTAGTAATTAATGTATAATTTTATTTAATATGTTCTAGGAAGTAGTTAGGTACAAATGTAAGGTAGGTACCTATTAATTTTACTTACCTACTTACACACAGATTTCCATAGGATTTAGCATCAATAAAATTATAGTATTAGTTACTAGGTATACAGTATGTCCCAAAAGTCCCGTATCACCCTTAATATCTCCATGTAAAATCACTATATTTAAACGCGGTTTTTTTTACAGTACTAAGTATGAAAATTCTGATTGAATGGCATAAAATTCATTTATTTTTTTCTTTAAATTCAAACATTTTCAAAAAAATTTTTTACCCATTTAATAATTTAAAATTTTTAAGATAGCCATTTTGTTTAGCATATTTTTTAAAACAGTTCAAAAAAAAAATACTAAAATTAAATAAAAATTGACCAAGTTAGAGCAAGTTATGTTTTTGAATAATTGTAGTAAAAAAATAAATTATTGTTTCACATTTCAATAATGAAATATCTAATTTCAGCACACGACAATACTTTTGCATTCCTAATTTATTTTTTTACTACAATTATTCAAAAACATAACTTGCTCTAACTTGGTCAATTTTTATTTAATTTTAGTATTTTTTTTTTTTTTTTGAACTGTTTTAAAAAATATGCTAAACAAAATGGCTATCTTAAAAATTTTAAATTCTTAAATGCGTAAAAAATTTTTTTGAAAATTTTTGAATTTAAAGAAAAAATAAATGAATTTTATGCCATTCAATCAGAATTTTCATACTTAGTACTGTAAAAAAAACCGCGTTTAAATATAGTGATTTTACATGGAGATATTAAGGGTGATACGGGACTTTTGGGACATACTGTATACTATCTATATTCTATATCAATCTATGTAAATAGAATCTGTATACTTAAATTTTTAAATTATGTTACAATCGTTTTACAGTTAATTTCATTATAGGAGTTGTTTAACAACTTTATTATTCCTGAACCTAATGGTATTCTAATTGATATCTCAGTGTGTTCCTTTACAAAGTCTTGAATATTCGGTGCCAAATAATGTAGTTAAAAAAAATGAAACCATAGTAAGTCCTAACAACAGATTTTCTCCGTATACTAGTCCTTCTTCATCTAGAAGTTCTTCCATAAGTTCTATCCAAAGTCATGTGAAATTTGGTACTTATAACCCAATGGATTGGACATCTCAGGTATACTTAGGTAAGAATACATGTCTGTAAAATTAAAATCAACATAGAATAATTATTTATAGACAATAATGGACTTATTACAAAGTACAAACGATGGCAGATTTATATTAGCTGATGCAAAGTTAAATAAGGGTAGTGTCTCCGATGAAGGACAGAATATATTGACTAAGTTATTAATAAATTTTATGTTTCAAGATAAGAGCAAGTATGTTTCATGTTTATATTAATTGTTTTAATGTGGATTAGTGTACCTACCTAATTGGGTTATATTTTCCTTCTACCTAATTATTACTAGGTAGTTTATTTATTATTTAATTTTTTGAAGGAAAATTACTCTAAGTCCTGTATTTTCATTATTCTCATAAATATTTAATAAATTTGAAATTGATAACATTTTATTTGGATGTTAAATATTAGCTTTGAATTGTTATTAAATGTACCAACGCTAGTACACTACATAAATGCATTTTGTTTATACTTATAATTTTCAGAGGAACTGATTTATTTTTCCGAAAAATATCAAGTTTAATAACTGAAATATTTCCTAACGAAGTACAGGGTGGTATAGATTAATATTTTTAAAATTAAATTGTATCCTAATTTACTATTTTCATTTATTTATTAAATAAACACAGCCATAAGGCTACCTAGAACTTAAATTGTAGAATTTTAATGAGTAGATTAATGACACTCATAATACATAAAGGATCATACCTATGTAAATAAAAAACTACTAGTTTAATTAAGTCGAGTAATATGTTTTTTTGATTTTACAATTTTAATTATTTTTTATTAATGCAAATCCAATATTTTTGATAAGATTATACCATTATAACATTTATAACCAATTATTTTACTATATTGTTAATTGAATCTTATCACTAATTAATTTTATTTCGGTGATATATTGTATAGAGAGTTTATTTTTTACCAGCAAGAGCTGAAGGTTCTAACCAAACGCATGCTAAAGGTAAATTGGTTGAGAGGTGGAAAAATGTGGCAAGAAGATTAAGAAGTGTGGGGGCTATCGAGTTAGATAGAAGAAAGTCCATTACTTAACATTGAATCTGCTACCGATTTTTCTGGTAGGTACCTACCTATTTTGATTTAAAATTTAAATAAAATGTACATTTTATTTACACACTTGACTTTTTTACTCAGGTGATATTAAAAAAGCAAAAGAATGGCTGCAGAATGAAGGTTTTTTTGCTTCATTTATAGAAGTAGGTAAAAGAAAAATGGATCCTGACACATGAAATCAGAAAATCTGAAATTTCAACTTAAAATGGACGGAACCTCAGTGACGTTTTTAAGTCGTGGGTCATTTTAAGAAGTCCTAAAGGTCATGAGTTAGTAAGTGTTATCCAATTTTATTTTTATTTTCAAAATTATTCATATAATATATATATATAATACCTAGGGAGTTCATTAAATTATTTTTTTATTTTATGTAGATTTCTGAAGATTTTTTTTTGGAATATCCATCACAGAAAACATTGTTTGCAGACTTCCAAGCTTATCACAAAAAATGGACTACAGTTTTAAATATATTAGTTAATATTAGAAGAAGCTCTACCAAGGCCAAACATGCTAAGGATTTATTGAGCAAATTAGATTCGGTGCAACTGCATGAAGGTAAATTATTTAGTAACTATACTCAATAACAATGTATAATTTTACATTAAAATATACTTAATGGCTAAATTAATTGGAAACCGTCTTTTGAAGAATCTGCCAAATCATTTGTTACATTTGTTCCAGTCAGTTATGTTATTCCCATTTAAAATATTTATATTATATAATTAAGTATACATCAACATTAAAATTACATTACTAAGTGATATACATATTGGTTAGTTTAATCAGGTTTATATTATATTTTATTTTTTACAGAATATAACACAAATTAGTTCAGAAATTATTCAAAGGCAAAACAAATATTCTCAATATGGTTGTGCTATACAGCCTTCCGTTTACTTAGTGGGTAAAGATTTCAGCTCTGTAAGTCAAAGTTACGTTCGTGTAGATGATCAACTCTGGACATTCAGCAGTCCATTAGCAGCAATAGATGCTTGTTTTAAAGCATACTTTGGTCTTGATTGTGCATATCCTCTCGAATGTTACGAGTCTTGGATTTTTCTTCAACATCAGATTTATGGAATTAAGACTGAATATGACCAGATATCTTCCATAACTTCGTCTATCTCAAATAAGTTTGAAATTTTAAATACTCAATAACTATTAACACTATTAATATTATTTAAGTAAATTAAATATATAATTATGAATTACATTTGCTTTCTTTGTAACTTGAAACTAAGAGGTATACCTCAATTAATTTATCATTTGAAAATTCTTCATTAATTGGGTAAAGAATCTTACTATTATTGTAAACAACCTTTTTGTTACCGTGATTTTCGAGGTTTACACAAATTCCGACAGCATTTAAATAGATCACATTTCAAAAATCAGGAAATTATAAAAATCATTTTTCTCAATTCACTAATTTAGAATCAAATAATAATATAAACTATACAACATCTCATAATTTGGATAGTTTTAATACTTATACTACTCATCAAAATGATGAGTTATCTGAACAATCAGTTCTATTAAATGAACTTGTTTCTTCCGATGACAGTAATGATACTGAACTAATAAATTTACCACCGTTTAAAAAAAAGGTTGAAAAAATTGTATTAAGTTTTGTTGCAAATTTAATGACTAAATCAAATGTAACTGGATCTTTATTACAAGAAATAATTGAAGGAATTATAAACTTGTTTTCTAGTGATTTAATTGTATGCATTAAAAAGGAAGTTTTATTAGTTATGAGGCAATTTAACTCTTCAAAATATTCAGAAATTGAAAATATGTAGTGTAAACACTAGGTATTACAGTATTACTTTACAGTTTTCACTATTTCACTACATATAAGAAAACGCAAATCACTCACCAATATTACTTAAACTGAGAAGACGCCGTATGGAATAAAATGACTACATCATTGTCGTCGCGTCGGACGCTCGTTCCTATTTCCGACTTGATAATAATATGCTTATACACACAGCAACGCAGGGAAAACCAACCTTTTTTACTTATAATCTATAGCGTTTATATTAAGATTTCTGAGTAACATAGTTTGGTGAAATTAAAAGTTACAGTTGTTAAATTAAGATTCTTGGTGTTAAAGTGATCTAAAGTGATCTTTATCCAACAATGTATTGGTGTTGTTTTAACCATAATTAAACACACGGATATTTGTATATGCTTTTAACACCAAGTCGTAAATACAATTGGTGTTGTTTTAAATAAATGCAGTATGTAAAACATATTATCTTCAATATGACTGCAAATAAATGTTGTTTTAACTACATATAAATTAATAACCCAATATCATTTTTTTACTATTTTAACAATATGTATTGTTGAACTAAAATGTTAATTCAGTTACACTCTAGTGTTTCCTTAACAGTCCTAAACACATAACTTAAAATTTAGTTGCTCAATAATTTATTTAAAAGGTAAATTAGCAACTGATTTCTACACGCATAGAAAACCGAGATCAAATTAACCACTAAAAGTGTCAAAATTATTCACATTTGAACGTCGTTTTTGAGCTAAGGCTAGTCTGCAGTTGATTTAACATTAATTGGGTTTAAATTTTTTAACAATCGTAGGAATAATTATTGAAATTTTTAAATACTTGTTTTCACACCAAATTATGTCAATGTAACTTCAATCTGTTTTAAAATCAAAATGGACTGTTGTCAAATCAACACCACTATAAGTCAAACTAAATAACTGAAAAATGCTTATTTAACAGTTGGAAAAACTAAATTGAGTTTAAAATCAAAATTAATTGTTGTTAAATCAACACCACTATAAGTTAAATTAAATAACTAATAAATGCTTATTTAACTGTAGAAACTACTACACTGGATTTAAAACTAAGTCAATTTAACACTGCGCATGTGTGTTTTTAAAACTATTTTGGTGTAATTCAAAATGTAAATATTGGTTAAATTAACATTAAAATAAGTTTATTTTAAATATCAATCTGTAGTTAGAAAATAATACTTTTATTTTCAAAAATATTTTAGTAATAAAAGTTAATTAATCATTAATAAACTAGGTATTTAAAAAATAGGTAGGTTTTATAAGAACTAAGAAGTAAGAAGGGAACAAATCTAGTTTAGCACCCCCTCGAAATTTTGAGTTTTTTTTTTTGTAACCTATGTATTTTGACGAGTTTAGAACGATGGTGTAAAAATAAATTTTCGGAAATGATTAGTTTTGAAGTTATAGACTTGCGAAGTTTACGATTTTCGATGTTATACTCATGCGCGCAACGCTCTATTTCAATGCTTTTATAACGAGTTTTTAAATTATTTTTTTCGGAATTTCTTTCTATTTATAATTTTATCTAGGCTTGTAATATAATGGATTTACTAAAGATAAGATTTAGTTTTTGCCATAATCATAAAGGTGAAGTTAAACTACAGATTAACTTTCAGTATAATGTGGGCAGTGATGCCTTGCTAGCGGCACTCGTCGCTGCGCTCCTCGGCGCCGTCGTTGCGCTCCGCAAATCGAAAATATCCCTCGACTTGCTATGCAACACCACCTCAAGTAGGTCACAGGGTAAGTTATGTTGTATTTATTTTTTCACTATCGTTCTAAATTCGTTGAAATATCTATGTTTCCGAAAAAAATAATTTGTTTCTTTAAAAAGAGCGTTAAAATAGAGCGTTGCGCGCATAGTAAAACATCAAAAATCGTGAACTTCGCAAGTCTATAACTTCAAAACTAATCATTTCCGAAAATTTATTTTTACACCATCGTTCTAAACTCGTCGAACTTCATAGGTTTCAAAACAAAAAAATCGAAAATTCGAGGGGGTGCTAAACTAGATTTATACCGTAAGAAGTAATAATAGTTTAAGAAGAAAATGTGTTTATTATATGCATATTAAATTTACTATATAATATACAATTAGTTATAAATAATTATTACACAATACATGTATATCTTACACTTACTAAAATGACAAAAATGAACAATTATATTTTTTTTGTACACTTCGTAAACATTAGTTAAAAAGAAAGATGTTACAAACAATTCATTTTATTATATACTTAGAGCTATAGCAAATTTATAATTTCCACTATAGCTTATTACATAAAACATTATAAACATTTAAAATTTAATTTATTAATTGCATAAGTACAAATAAACATAATAAACTATACAAATAAAGAAATCAATTAATAATAATAAAAAAAATTTTTATTATTTGTATATATAAATTATAAATAATGTATACACAACACACAAAATACACAATGTTTAGGTCTCGTTGTAAAAGGTACATAATTAATACATTTAAAGAGCATACCTTAAAGTGGCATAGCTTTTATTGTTTCCTAAAATGGTACGTGATATTGTAGGTGTAGGATCTCATAATTCAGTAACATAGAATCCAACTATATTAATATTATCTTTAGAGTTACCACCTTCTATTTCATAGGCGTGGAAATGAGAATCATATCCAATAGTACTTAGAGGTTTTAATAAAAAATAAGGAACTTCACGTTCTCCTACAAGCATAAAAACAATTTCACCGAATACACTCCCATCCAGATTGGTTTCCATTACAACTAAAACCTTTTTTGTATAGTATATAGATTTGTACTCCAGCCATGATGCTTTATAGCAATTATTTTTTAGTTCTTCAGGAAGTTGTGTTATTATTGATTGAGGGAATTCTGAAGAACAATTTATAAGTTTCCCTAAGTCAAGTTTTAAGTTCTTATCACTGAAATTAGTACCTGAAAGTAGACGATTGACCATTTGCAACAGTAATTTATATGAGATAGTGTAATCAAGATTTATTCGACAAGGAATAGCATTTGCTCATGCCTTCAGAGTTTTATGCTTAGTCTCAAAACGCAAACTAGATGTTAAAGTAAATGGTCCATTTTTTCGCAAAATATGAGTGAGCATATGGAATTTAGGTTTTAAAGTACCTTTAGACAAAAATAAATATAATTTGTTATGCTCAGAAACGAGGGAATCTAATAAAAAAGAACTATCTTTTTGTATTTTCCTAGCACAGCATAAGTCAGTAATTTGAAGTAGAAGAAAGTAAAGTTTCCAAAACTCTGATGATCTAGGTACCAATTCACCAACCAACTAAAGTATCTAATTAAGCATAGCATTTCTGAAGCTGACATTACTATACTACCTTTTTTGATATTGGTCTCGCGGATTGATGGTAGATACATTTTTTCGTTCTGTAGTACCATAATTAAATAAACATATTCGGTTATTTAACTCATTCAGTGTAAAACAACCCTGCTCAATAACACCTGAAATAATTAGTGCCATATCATAACGTGCCACACCTTCAGGTATGTCATGCATAAAATCACAAACTAAATTTTCAGTTACATGAAAGTGTTGAATTTTATGAAAGATACATTGTTCATGAACACCAGTTTCATGTACATTTTTAAGTTGAACATCAGCTGTGCAACACCACCTTAAGTTGGTCACAGGTTAACCAACGTACAACCACCTTATCATTTTTCGAACAACTGCCAGCCACGGCACAATCACAATCAAAATAAGTGAAAAAAAAATCGCGAAATAGTGAACTTCATTAGGCCATAACTTCAAAACTAAGTCCGTGCCCCAAATTCGGTTTTCACCATCGTTTTCAGCGTACTTAACTACATAAGTTTCCAAAAAAAAATTGCAAAAAAAAGGGTGCCCAGTAAAGTATAAATATACCCAATAGTCTTATATAATATACCGTTCATTATTTTATGTATTTATGAATTAATTTTGTGTAGGTACACATATTTAATACAAGTTCTAACATAACATCTTTTAAAAATATTAAAATATTATTTCATATATTAAGTTTGGTACCTATAGCTGCATTCTGGAAATAGAAGTGTCTTTGTTATTGCACATATTTTGAAACTAAAAAAAGTAATAACTGTAAGAAACACATTTTAACATACCCATTCTAATTTGTCCTAGACAAAAGATATTTAAATCTTCAACTTTTTTTTTTAAACATTTATTTCATAACCATGTAGTAGACATATTTATTTTAAACCCCCAATTGATAAACCTAAGCAACATAAAATACAAAAAATGTTTATTCATATTAGGTAGGTACTATTAAACTACTATTATTTGAATAAGTATGTATAATATTTTGTTTTTGTTGAATAAATTATTATTGTTATCATAATAGTTTAGTGTAATATTATTGTTCTATGATATTATTTAGAATGGGTAAGGTATTTTTAGAACAAATTATGCTTATTATATGATAACATGATAATTATATTAAATGATATGTAATTAAAAAATATATTTTGTTACACAATAGAGTATTTAAGTGTTTTTAGTCTATGAGTCCTGATTCATTTTTTTATTTTAATCCTACATTTCTTAAAATTAAATTATGATTCTTAAATTAACTTCTGATAATCTTCCTTCATCATTTAAAAATATTATAACTGTAATTAATGATGATATTACAACAATACGGTCAAATGTAAATGATTTATTGAGTATGGCCAATTGGATAGAAGAATTTTCTTTTAAAACTTGTACTTAGTGGAATGTTAGGACATCTGTCCCTAATGACTAATACATTCAATGCAGGTTAGTCACCTTATTAACTTTTTTTTAATTAAAATCAGTTGCAAGTGTAAAAATGATTTCCTAACTGTATCTTTTATGTTATTATTATTGCGTATCTTAGAAAACAATATGTGTGTCATCACAGATCTTACCACAAGGTTGATAGAAAAAAAGACAAAAGAGTTCGATCAAAAAACACATACTGTAAAGCCACAATTGAAATTGTCATTAAAGTTGATACTGTTTCCACGAGGAAAACAGACCCATTTGTAAAAGTAAGAACAAGTTTTTTTTACTAGACCTTCTTATAATTCAATGTTCACCCAGTTAACCTATGTATTCTGTTTGTTAAATATTTATTTTTTATCTGTTATAATATTTATAATTAGGTTTTGTTATTCATTTATTACTCCTTATAATAAAATGAATTTATATATTTTAATTAATGGCACTTATAATCAATTTATGGTACCATTTAAGTGCATTGTTAAATATATTTCAGGATGGATTGCTAGCTGTAATCACAATTATAAATTAACATAATCATAATTTAAACACTGCTGAAGCACTGAGATATTTAAGTGCAAACAAGCACCTTAGAATGAAGTTTGAAGAATATTTCACAGATGGTATGACCATAACAGAAGCAATTCGGTGAGTTGTTTTTTAATTATTGCTTATGAAAAATTACTAGAATTAAAGTTGTTAGGTATGTTTTGTTGATTCATCTTGTAATAATATTGTTTTAAAAAATAATAATGTATTGTTGATAATAAAAGCTCTGTATTTTTAATTTTTAATTACTTACACTTTATCAATCAACTCCCTATTAAAAAATCACCAGGTCATGATCTAATTAGTAATGTTATTACAAAGAACCTTCCCAAAAAATTATTATTTTTTTATCAGACATATTCAACGCCATTTTCAGACTATCGTACTTTCCAAACACTTGGAAATACTCGGTCGTTATTTTAATACCTAAGCCCAATAAACCACCACAAGATCCTGCCTCTTACAGACCCATAAGTCTTCTTCCAACCTTTTCTAAAATTTTTGAGAAAATTCTTTTAAAAATACTCATTCATTTTGCCTCTTCAAAAAACATAATTCCCCACACACAATTCGGATTCAGATCAAAACATTCTACATTGCACCAATTACACAGAACAGTCGATATCATATCCAGCTCCCTGAAAAAAAAACAGTTCTGTACAGCAGTATTCCTTGACATCTCCCAAGCCTTTGATCGGGTTTGGCACGACGGACTAATGTACAAACTTAAAAAGTTCTTACCCGCCCCTCTTTTCCTCTTGATAAAGTCCTATCTGTCAAATTGTTTATTTACTGTTTGCCTAAACAACACCTACTCAACCCGTTACACTATTAGAGCGACTTTTAAGCGACATCGCTCCATTCCTTTACTCGATTTTCACTCATGACATACCCAAGACATTTTATACATATTTAGGCACATACACTGATGACACGCTAATAACCGCCTCCCATGAAAGCCACGTCACAGCCAGTGAAATGATCCAAAACCATTTAAATATGATCAGCTTGTGGGGAAACAGATGGAAAATCAAAATAAACGAAACTAAATCTGTTCAAGTAACTTTTTCACTACGTAATCTCGATTCTCCACCTGTCACGTTAAACAATATAACAATTCCTAAGGCAAACGAAGTTAAATACCTTGGGCTAACTCTCAACAAATGCTTAACCTGGAGCCCACACATTAAACTTAAACGCAAAACTGTTAACTCTAGACATCATATCCTTAGACCACTCTTAAAATCCAAACTTCCCCTTTCCAATAAACTTACTATATACAAATCAATAATTCGACCAGCTTGGGCATATGGTATCCAGTTATGGGGCTCTGCAAAGACCTCTAACACCAACACGCTTCCAGCTTTTCAATCTATCTGCCTACGATTAATAACATATTCTCCTTGGTTAGAGGTTTTGCTATCTTGGCAAAGTAATCAACGAAACGGCAGTAATAATTCAATAAACCTAAGAATGGCTACGTCTTTCTCGTTTAATGGTCTCGGATATTCTTTAATACAAGTTAATTTGTTTGGATCGGGAGTTACCCCGTTTTCGCTGATCACGTGCCATAAATATAGAATCTCTTTACCTAGAAACATGCATTTCTTAGGTTGCAATTTTAGTTTATGCAATCGTAATCGCGTAAACACTTGCTCTAACCTGTTCTGATGATCTACTAAACTTGACCCGTGGACTACCATGTCATCTAGGTTCGCCGTACATAATTCTTCCAAGTCTATTAAAATCGATTTCATAATTCGAGTAAATGTTGCCGGCGCAGAACTAAGTCCAAATGGTAATCGTAAAAATTCGTAATGTCCTGATTTTCTAGAAAAAGCTGTTTTATGGGTGTCTCCCTTATCAATCATTATTTGGTGATAACCACTAGCAAGATCAAGGGTAGAGAAGTACTTAGATGAGTCTAAAGATTCTAGTATCTCTAATATATTCGGTAAGCCGTATGCTTCATTTTCCGTAACCTCGTTTAATTTTCGGAAATCTACACATACTCGTAACTTTTGGTTACCGTCCGCATCTTTTTTCTTTTTTACTTCTACGAGTGGAAAATTATTTAATTTTGGTGATAACGAATCACGTATTATATTCGCGTCTTTCATTTTCTTTTACTTGTTTTTCGATATCGTCCTGACTCCTGGTACGCATGCACGCGTGCGGTAGCCTGTATGGACGTATCTTAATCGGTTGAACACACCTAGGTGTATTAATTTTATGTGTAACAATATCAGTTACACTCAAAAGGTCACCTTCGAGAAAAAATAAATCAGAAAAACGACAACACAGGTCTAATATATTATCGTGTTCTTCGTGATTAAGATGTTCGGTATTAATAGTTTCTTTGATTCTTTTAATTCTATTTACTGAGTTATCGCTTTCGCTAGTAATAAAAACATTATCGTGGTACGGTTCCCATTTTAAATTACTCGTGGTTAATTGTTCAATTATAAACGGTTGTTCGGATATATTTACGATATTACTTATTATTTTATCACTTTTGACCGGACTGATACTATTAGCTAAAATTACGTCTTCATTCATTTCATATTTCTTTATCGTTATTGCTTCGTAATTGATTTCTTCGTCGGCTATAATTTGTAACACACAATTACTCC